TGCCCTACGTTGCCACGTTTTGCACGTAGACAGCACGCAGAAGCACGTATGGCGGGTTGTGACCGAAGCTTGAGTTATAGGAAAAGAACCAAAGATGATTTGAAGCCAGGGCCTACCTGTAGTGTGTTGTATCCAGTGAGTTTGGGTGGGCTCTGAGCTTCAGCACCAGTATTCTCACAATCTTTCCCAGGATCACAAAGTTCACCTGGAAATAAAGAGGTGAAGTGTGTTCGCTTACTGTGACAATTTTCGCACCTGTTCCTCAAATACTGTAAAGCCATAGACTGAATCTATATTTGAGGGCCTGCATGGGGGTTACGTAGTGATATTATAAATTACACAAAATTATCGCTGCTGATTACGAATTACGTTAAACAGCGAGCAGATTATTATTGGAATGAGCAGAGCACTTTGGACTAATGCCTCTGACCATTTACAGCTTAGAGGTACATATCCAATATTTTGTCAAAAACTTCTCTGTTACATAGCGGATCATAATGACCCCCAGTGGGGGTCTTCACGCTTCGTTAAAAATTGAAAAATCTCAATATTTTATACGAAATCTTGAGATCTTATGAGACAATATTGAGATTTTTTATGACAATCTCCAGATCTTTCAGAAAATCTTAAGATGAAAAGAAAAGGTCTCAAGATCTTTCCAAATGTTTTCAAAGTATCTTGGGATTTTTCCATAGCATCTCAAGATGCTTTAAGAAATATCAAGATTTTTAAAGCAATCTTGAAAAAACGTGAGATCTTTTAAAACAATCTTGATATTTTTTAAAGCATCTCGAGATGCTTTGGAAAAATCTCAAGATACTTTGAAAACATTTGGAAAGATCTTGAGACCTTTTGTTTTCATCTCAAGATTTTCTGAAAGATCTGGAGATTGTCATGAACAATCTCAAGATTGTCTTATAAGATCTCAAGATTTCGTCTAAAATATTGAGATCTTTAGAATGAATCTTGAGATTTTTCAATATTTAACGAAGCGTGAAGACCCCCACTGGGGGTCATTATAATCCGCTATGTAACAGAGAAGTTTGTGACAAAATATTGGATATGTACCTCTAAGCTGTAAATAGTCAGAGGCATTAGTCCAAAGTGCTCTGCTCATTCCAATAATAATCTGCTCGGTGTTAATAGTGTGTTCTTTTCCAGGTATAACCACCGTTCTGACCATGACGACGTTCATCACCAGTGCGCGAGCGTCTCTACCCAGAATCTCCTACATCAAGGCAGTGGACGTCTATCTGGTCATGTGCTTCGTCTTTGTCTTCGCCGCCCTCCTGGAGTACGCCTTCGTCAACTTCGAGTCCACCACGTCTAAGCACCGAGCTAGGAAGAGGCTCAGAGCCAGAAAGAACAAAAATAAAAAGCAGGAGGAGGTTCGATGATCGTGTCATATTTTGTTATCTGACAGGGAACTAGTACCATTTTGCCTGTGATTGGTATGTGGAAATGTCATACGGAAGACTGCAGGGGCAGGCAAATGTGACACATACTTAGTGCCCAAAAGATATCTGCTCCTCAACACACACAAAGATAAATCGATTCTGTTCACATTAACAGACAAGCCAGGAAGTACATGTAGACACGTCTACTGTAGATTATTGTCTTCTTTAAGGCAAAACTAAGATAGTAAAAAAACGTGTTAAAAGAGGAAGAGAGAGAGCGGCACGGAGACTCCAGGGTATGTCTACTCAGCCACGGACATGCTTTTTTTTTCAGGTAAAGGTACTGGATGAAGCAAAGCCGCTGAAGGGTCCCCTGAAGGCAGCCGTCATGGAGTCCAAGATCGACGACGAGTCCCCCACCTCCCCCGGGCTGGGGTCAACGGCCTCCAGCACGCGCAGAAGGGAGAGACAGACCACGTTCTTCGACGTGGCGTCCAACGTCGTCTCCAATCTTCGCGAGAAACGGGCCGCCTTCAAAGTCGAGATCAAGGACATCAACGTCATCGACAAGTACTCCCGTATCATCTTCCCGCTGTCTTTTGTACTGTTCAATATTTTCTATTGGATAACGTACACTTTCTGATGGAGGGATATATGCTCTTGGCGATGATGTTATGTGGTTGATGAGAAAGTGTCTTCCGGCGGTTCTTTGTAAAAAGAAATGACATTTTGTGTCATATCTGTACATATATATCAGCTGTTCTGTGGCCTACCGTATTTTGCCAGCATTTGTAGTTAAGAAGTTGGCTAGCAGGCTGGCTGGACGGAATCGGTCCGTATACTTCTTACAGAAGGTTTTGGTGTTTAGAAAATTTCAGTCGAGATAGTGTCGTGTAAGGCAAAAAAATGTGGCTTAGTACATTTGTCTCGAGTTGTACAGACGTTCAATTGTCATTAACCAGTAATGTACCTTTCCCAGGAGTCGGTCCTATAGATATGTACAATAATAAAAAGCCAACTAACAACTTTCACGCCCTCTTGCGACACGGAGTAGTAGTCCACTGAACCTAACTAAGACCTGAAATTGGAAATCGACGTCATGACGTTGTGGCCAGTTTGTGACATTGTGGTGTGAGATCTTGTACTTATTTCTACACAGGAAACAGACCAATAGAAACTCACCACGTATGAAACCTTCCCAATACTTCACTCACGATTGCAGACTCTGAGGTAAACGTTAGAGTACACGAACATGAAGTTTTTGTTAGGCTCTTGACAGCAATTGTGTCTCCTGCTATGGCACTACGCGCATGTAAAGGGGTTTGCATGGATTAAAAGTAAGTGCAGCAGACAAACCAAAATTCCGGCCATCTTTCATTAAAGCCCCTGTCACACTTTCACAATTTTGTTGCTACTATTCGGCTGCAAAACCCCGAAAGTTTCTCAATGTTTAAAACATTCGTGGGGGGGGGGTCATAAGGTTTGGCCATGGTTGGCTGGTGTTCGGCTGTAATTCAGCCAGTGTTCGTGGTGTGCGAAGGGGTTGAATTTGAGTCAAATTTAACTCAAATTAGGTTCTACTAGTACATAAAGGTTGGCGTGGCCTAAATCTGACCAGAACTCCCCGTACTTCAGCCGATCGTGGTCAGCTCTTGTTCCGGGAAAATGTCGAGGGGACGTCCTGAATGTGACAGGTTTGAAAATCATTGAAGAGTTAAGTTTTAAACGCCCCCGTGCCTTTATCGATGACGTCACAGCCTCGGGATTTGCATGCGATATAACAAGTGGTATATAAGTAGCGCACCAAGATAAAGTTACGGCGAAGTGTTGATATATTCGCATATTTATGGGAATGTCATACTTGCCTATCAGCGTGCCACGCAGACACGTGGTGGCGCAGCTTTTCAATAAAACTGCTGAGTATAAATGAAATACGGGACGTGAGAATGACAGTAAATCATTTTCTGTAATGTCAGCATGGATCAGCGCTCTGTGAGCCACAAAGGCCTTTGTTATCGAGCAGCAGCAGAACCATCAATCATACACGGTTGTTGCGGCAGAAACCCCAGATAATTGAATATGTTTAGGTTTGACTGATGACTACAGCGGGAGGCATTCACAGCCGCTTTCGCTGTCCCTCCGCGCCTCTACGGTTGTAAATAAGACCACTGCCTACAGAAGCACTGGGTATTGTTATCGTTTGTGTTGAACGTCTCTGTAGTGTAGTTAAGTAAGCCGGTTGACAACCACATAGATACTTTCCTGAGCATATGAATTCCTCTGCTTGATGCAGACACACAACTGCTATCAGACGATTGCCCAGGTCTGTACTGTGCTCCCAACACAGCATCATTTCATTCTTCTCCTCCCCTTAGACTGGCTAGACTATATGTAAATTGTTTTTCATAATTGCGTCAGGTTTAATGAGCAATATCTTCGGTTACCTTATTCACTAGCTAAGATTGTTAACTGTTTACCCTTGCCTTTACTAGCATGAAATAAAACTTATTATTGATATCTAGTTATTACAACATACATGATTACTCGTATCATGACTATCTATCAAGTCTACTCAGGTGTTGGTTAAAAAAATTGATATAATCATACAACGGTATCTATGAAAATATCGATCATAAATATTCCCTGTTAGGGTGACAGACAAATGTATAGTTACTTCAAACAATGATTTTATCCAGTCTCCATAGATACTTTTATCCAGTTAAGTCACCTCTGCAGGGTTTTGTAGATTGTTTCTATCGCAGTGATATGTGCAATAAACCAGTAAACACACTATTAGGAATGTATGTATCTAGTATGCCGCAAAATGTTCATGGTAGATAGTAGTCGCACTGTTATCATTTAGGTGGAGGATTCTGCGACAGTACAATGTACATGACTTTTGACTTGTGAAGTAAAGTGCCTTTAGCTACATGTAATGGATGGTACATTTTCTTTCAATGCATATCAACCTATTCCCTACGGACTGACTAGAGATATATATGATATGCGATTATGATGTACATTTGATATGATGTATAATATCATGATTGGTGACGTGATAATAAACATCTTCCGTCTTCTTTCCTCTCTTGAAGTCATCTATGAATGGAGTCATCAATACATCAATATTGTAAAATACCTTATGAAATCCCCACGCACGGGTAAAAAAATGTAGGATTTGTTTTTAAAAGCTTCATGTATAAACCTCCATGATTCTCTATTCAACACTGGTGTGAGATTTAGGAAATGGTTGTAATGTAGCCAATATAAGTTAACAAATAGCTAAGAAGTCCAAAATCCAGAGACATGTACCAACTGCCCCATGACTAGTTTGAAATCTACACTTGCGATTCTTGCGGTCTCCTTTATACTTTAGCCTATTATTGATGTCTGCAGGCGTGACTTTAAGTTATTCCACATCAGAACTGCCTGAGAAGGCCTTGCCCTGGACCGCACGTCTTGGAGGCTCAAGCTTCAGCAAGGCGCTGAAAGTCCTATAATAAGCGACCTGCGGAGCAAAAACTTAGCCATGAGGCAAAAAAGAACGAGCCATGTCTGCAATCAGTCTTCACATGTGTGACCTGCAACAAGCCCCGCAGAATTCTAGAAGCCCTGTCACATCTGGGCTGGAGCTGCCCAGAGCTCCCTAACTGCCTCAACCGAGTTCAAAACCGCTTACAACATCTTGTTGGGAGTGACTTGTTTGCCACCCTACAACCACTCTCACGTAGCAATAAAATTAACGATAGGCTTGCAACATTACGGCTATTTACACGGTAACTTCACTCGCTAGCTACAGTGCCCTCACTTCGAACATTCTCAGCAAGGACACGTCTTGCCACTTCCACTCAGGCAAATCATACTTTCTTCCTCCATTCACCATCTCCGCTGAAAGTTTCTTTCCTAGAACAACATCACTATGTAGGCAACGACCGGGATTCGAACTCTTGACTCCTTGGTTCAGAGACAGGGGGGGTCACTGGCCAATGGAAAACGTGCTCTACTTCTGACGTAATCAAGCAAGGGTTGATAGTATTGCACACGCTCGTGACCCTAGTGACTGTTTTGCAGTTGGAATCACCATGCATCATAATATAATATGATCATCCACTAGCCACTGTTGGCACGTAGCCACAAGAGAAATAATAATAGATAACCTTTATTGTACATCCATGCCCTATCGGGCTAAGTACAGGTGAACAGATGAAAAGGTATATATAATGTCATGTCTGTAGTACAAACAGGACTATTGATACTAATCTAACGACATCAGCTATAAAACTACTCTAATACAGAGATATACAATGACCCTGAACCCGATCCTGGGTCGAACCAGCCAGATTCGGCAGCCACCAACTGGCCTGCTCAGCCCGTGACCAGCGCCCTCGCGCCAGTTTTCCCTTTCGAAGCCAACGAAAACTGCCAGAATCTCCTGACTCAGCCTACACAACACAACATTACCCATTATAGACCACGGCTGTGGCAGTCCAACTAAGTGTACGGAACGGACTGACATATGGTTGCACGATTTTTCTGTACTTTAGAATTACAGCGACCTTTACAGTAATACAGTTACGACGCTGCAGCGACATTTCTGTGTCATGTGTCCAGAGTGCCGGGCTGTCAGCACCGAACAGCCGAAGGTACCTCCCGCTAAAAAGAGTAATGTGAGATGGGCCTCAGGCAGCGCAAAATGCCTTACCAGAAATATGGCCGGTTCCAGCTTCCTGACGTTACCGACAGTTGTCTTACTTTTACTTTCCACAAGCCTATTTGGCAGGTGAGTGACTGAAGCTGCCTTTAGTTAAATAAACCCAGTTTGTGATGCTTCTTCGTGGACATGCTTTGATGTTTCATCGATGATGGGGTGAAAAGTCCGCCATGTTTGTTTTTCTGGTTTAGCTGCAGCGAACTCAGCGGGGCTACTGGGTCTCCCACGATTGCCGCAGCAGATTCCTCACTGGGAGAGATCCTGAAAAACTATGACAGAAACATACGTCCCAACTTTGGAGGTAAAGGAATGTTGCAATCACTGAAACATTGTGGATGCGTTGACTATCATATCTTGATTGCCAAATAATCTAAACCAGCTTATTCAAAGCTGAAGGGGCCACCATGTAATCTGGTGGTAATTCCATGAACAAATGAGTAATTAGTATCCCTATCAGGTAACATAATTGGTAATCCAGTTAGAAATAATATATTTCTAATTAGTTCAAACCATTTTGATATACCCATTGGAATAACGTGTAGAGGGGCTATCAATACATGTGCATGTACATATTGCTATCAATGTTCCGTGCACCCCCTGTGTGTTGCATGCAACTGTGGTGACAAAGAACGGCACATGTTATGGCTACGGCAACGACTAAGACTGCAAACGGTCGACGCAAGCAGGCCGTTCAGACCAGCTGTTGTTCCTTAGATTGTAGGTTTAGGTAGTATATTCAAAACGCTCTCAGCTGTAGCGCAGAGAGATGACAACCACGCTATGATTTGTACCGGCCTGACAGTGTGTTTGTTTGATCGACAGGCCCGCCTGTGCGAGTTGGCATCACCATGAGCATTGCCAGCATCGACAGCATTTCAATGGTCAACCTGGTAAGTGTCCTCCATGATCCAGTACACCAACTTCTAACGTAACGCCAACATGGCGATAATCGTATTGTACTTTGTTTTCATCGGACTTAATGTGATGTCTAAATGGCCCCAATGGAGCTGTATTTACAGGGCAATCGGTGGGTATCATAGAGCTGAACTACACATATCGTGTTTCACATACGAACATTTGATGCAGCCACAATAACCAGATGGCAACATAAGCTGATATATCTCTGTAATTCTTAAATCAATACACAAGTTCTTAAGTCAAGTACACACAAGCGTTTCTGTCTTACTAAGCAGGTCGTGTGACAAAGATGAGAAGGCTGGTTAATTTATGGTCACAAAAAGCTTAAACAGGGCGGCTCAAACGGCAACAGACTGCATGCATGCATGCACGGGTCGCCGAGTGTTGTCTGAAAATCGAAGCGTCACTGAGACTTCACGATTTCCGTAATTGTGAAGTTTGGATACCAAAAAGGTGCCTATGACATTCGTGTCAACTCAAGCCTTAATCCAGCTTATCTCATGGTCACAGTATGAACATACCTCGATATTCAAAATCCACGTCAACGACATGTAGCAGATGTGCTTGTGGCCATGATACAAGGTCTATGACCATGGCCTATCGCATAATTGGTGACCGACAGTACAAGGGCTAAGGCAGGACAACAGACCATGCACGAGGGCCCGTCGCTTACATGAAATGATACTAAGTACATGTGGCAACGTAAAATGGATATAATGAATTGCATGAACATTACCGAAAATACCATTCTGACATTACATTTACTTGCTTACTTCCTGACAGCAATTTTACAACACAGAGAACTTCGCACAGAACATAAAAGATATCTGTAAGGCGTAGACTGTAGTGTACGCAGGAGGGTAGTACAGTCTTTTGAAATTGATGGTCTGTCTGTCGTTTCTTCTTTCTGTTTTTGCTGTACCTCTTTTGCTTTCTCTCTGTCTGTCTCCCACTTTACACTGTCCGAATCCCGCCTTGTGTTCGTGATGTCACTGAATCTTTGCCTTGTCTTGCAACATGTTTCATTGTCAATGTCTATTTCACTGTAATACCCCACTGCACTGTTTCCCATCTGCCTTTCCCGTGTCTTCTCTCGTCTACTAACAACTTTGCATACACCCGCCAACACTACCGATGAAAACACTACTGATGAAACTACCGTGCATGTACGGGCTCGTGACGTGTGGTACAGGACTACACCATCACCGTGCTCCTGAGACAGTTCTGGAAAGACCCGCGCCTAGCTCAACCGTGGCTGAAAAACGTAACCCGGCCCATGAGCCTAGACGGAAGGCTGGCCGAGGACCTGTGGGTTCCCGACACATTTCTGACCAATGCAAAGGAAGCCTTCATGCACACAGTCACAACAGACAACGTGCTAATCAGGCTCTACCCTGACGGGTCTGTTATCTACGGAATGAGGTATCGTGTGTGTACACTGCTGACATGGCCGTATACATCGATACAACATGGTACACATGTATATCTATCAAGACATCATAATATTGTAGCACATACCAGAATTATAGCGACCGGTTAATCTACAGACATTCTGAGCCTTACCTAAACCTCCACCAATTCAAGTGGGATTTCGTAAGTGGTACATGTTAGGTGCTACTCATTCACACAGATGTTAACTTTAATGTTCTATGTCAAGATAACTTCTCAACATAGATGCACCATTGACGCCATTCGCCATTAATTATTCACATTTTCCAGTTTCTCGTTGCGTTGGGGAACACAACAATTACACATGATGCAAGCAAGGTGATGCTGACACAATTGAAGGTGATGCTGACTAAAAATGAGGGGCGAGAATTGCCCTGCTAAATTTCAAATTATAGTTGTAGAATTGACCTGCCAGCAAACAAAGCTGATCATGCCCAAACTAAGAAGAAGATAACACTGAAAGGAAACAACCTAATCAAGTTGTAGGCAGTGGAGGTAGTGGTTGCGGTAGTAATCACCTCAACACTTCAAGTATACAAAGTAAACAGTAGAGCCGTGAAAGCAATACGAGTGATCGCTGGCGACCGCCATGGCGTCGAGTCCAGCGAACGGTAGGCAAAAAGTGGTAGGTGGTTGGCTAATTTGCATATGTCTTCAAAGAACTTGCATGCATATGATGTAAACAAAACAAAGAACAAAATGTCAAGTTTCGTTCTTATGAGTGTCCCTTCTAAAGATAACACAAGGAGCAACAGTCAGTCTTGACCATTCAGGGAAATCTTTCGCACCATAAATGTTTATGTACCCAAATCTGTGACAAAAGAAAACGCGGGAAATCCATGATGCCGCCCCCTCCCACTCTGAAATGCGCGGCGGGAAAAACGAGTCAGAACCAGTTTGTCGCCGGCTAAAAGACCCAACTAGTCTTGCCTAGAGCTACAGTGAACTCTACACGCCATAAACAATCACTAGGTAAACTTACTAGTACCACAAACCTCTTCAAAACGGAGCAGTAAGAAGAGAACGAAGATCGAAGCTTGACTCTGTGAAGTTCGGTGTCTCAGGACCCTACCATCTAGTTCTCGGGGTCCAACATGGCTATGGTGCTAAATAAAATCAACGTGAAATCAATATAGTCATAAACTAATCACATTTTGCGGCTGTATCAGATTGAAAAAACATAAACCGTTTCTGTAGCTCAAACCAAAGCCACAGATAAAACACCAACCCTCATGGTCGTGCTTGGTTGATTCTGCAGGTCATGACCTTTGCTGGTCTTTGGTCAAGTCATGACCTTTTTCAGGTCAAGACCTTATTACCCAATTCAACAAGTGATATCCGCCTGACGATCACGATGACCCTTTCTTCTGTTTAGTCCTAATTAGTCAGCATCGCCTTGCAAGGTGAACTCGAAAGTCGACAGTGAAGGCATCAAGGATATCATTTAAGATATTAGCAACAGGTGTTAGCATGGGGGATAATACAAGTCTTAGCGATAGGTGTAGATTATCTTCGTCAGTTTCACCGTTTTGACGTTTAGTTTCAATATTTTACAAAATAGTACACAGGGGTACCATATTTCACACAGTAAGAACAATTGTACCAGACGTTGTATCTTATGATGACAAGTACTAAATGTAAAGCAAAACACCTGTATGTATACGGACACTTCACACATTTAGTCTTTGCAGCTTCTGGCCGTTATGACCAATGTCAACTGTGGAATTTGTACACCTTAAGTAGCATCTTTATTTCACTTCTTCTGACATATTTGTGTGTTAGATGCTGGCCTTTAGAGCCAGCCATTTGTTTCTATGTTGAAATAAGTAAGATTGTTTCTTTGATTTCTCGTAGGATAACGGCTGTGGCTCACTGCAACATGAACCTTCGGAAATATCCGTTGGACCAACAGAACTGCACACTGGAGTTCGAGAGTTGTAAGTCTTTTACTCGAAGATTCTTCATGGTTTTAACTTAATTCCTATATCGCTCAGGTATGGTCTGCTCTGTTGATTCTTACTCAAATATATATATATATATATATATATATATATATATATATATATGGTCAGACAGGAGTATAAATCCCTCCTACTATAAAATTGCAACATTACGTAACCAAACACCAGTTACCATGGTGAGAGACGTCAACAATTAGGTCATTGGCCAGGTCAGAGGTTCGTGTTTGGAACGGGAGAAGAGGAAACGTAGCAAAAATAATGTGTTTTCCTTCGGTAAACATAGAAAGGGTTGTTTGCTTTCCCGCCACAGACGGTTACACGACCGAGGACCTGCAGCTGTACTGGATGCGTGGCGATGAGTCCATCTCGGGGCTGCATTCTGTCAACGAAGACCTGCAGACCTTCCAGGTCGGGGACTACCTCACCTCCGAGAGAGTCGCGCACTATGAGACAGGTAACAGGCTATATGAGCAAGGTAATATGAGCCAGGTAACGAATTATATCAGCCAGATTATATAGGAATGTCATCGTATAACAGACCATGATTGTACTCTTAGGAGGTGGAATACTTTGAATACGAATTAAAGCAAAAGGTCACAGAATCTTAAAGTTGATCCGTACACTAATGACTCTAAATATGGTATACCAAGCAATTTTGTCATTCTTTTGAAATGTCTTGAAAAATTCTGCGCAACAGAAAAAAGATGGACAGTAAAGATGAAGGTTGGTTCAGGAATATGAATCATATTTCTTATGATATTTAAATCTCAGCATATGTGATCCACAGGAGACTACATAGTGGTTGTCTTCAAGTTTCACCTGACCCGGCGGATCATGTACTTCCTGATGCAGACCTACATCCCTGCTGCCCTCATCGTCATGATCTCCTGGGTCGGCTTCTGGGTCAACCCCTACTCCGAGCCAGCCCGAGTGGCTCTCGGTACGTAAGCGCTCATCCGCCCGCAAACCGCAATAACATCTCGCCGCGCTCTGTCTCCCTCCGCAGGTGACTACCCCCGCCTAATCTTCAGCTTCGTGCTGATCCGCCTGATCTCTTTCTTTCTGCTGCAAACCTACTTCCCCGCCGCTCTTATCGTCATGGTGTCTTGGGTTGGGTTCTGGATCAGTCCGTACTCCGAACCTGCTCGGGTGTCGCTTGGTAAGAATGCATGGCATGTTCTTACGAGTTTGTGGGTGCCATGAAGGATCCTAGATCATTGGGAATGAATCATAATTTCATATCACTCTTTTCTGGGGCTATAGGCATGGCATGATAACAGTCATAATAACACCTTCCCTGTTTTCAGACAAAACTAATACATACATCTACTACATCTACAAAACTAATACACATGCGTACTACTAGACCTTTGTTGATACCGATTCTATATTTTCATGCCAGACGAATTACCAAGACTTTCTAGAACTGACTTTTATTACTTTCTTACGGCATGACAGTGCTGTACACTGAATCAATGAGCATTATTCTTCTTTAAGAAATTTTCTCAGCTTAATTCAATGTGATTGACATCGAGCTGTATGTGATGACCTGATTGGACTTGAACCCTGATCTTCAAATATTAATCACCGAAGCAGAATCTGTTCAATTCTTCTAGGTATCACCACGGTTCTGACCATGACGACCTTCATCACCAGCGAGCGAGCCTCCGTGCCGAAATCTCCTATGTCAAAGCCATCGACGTCTACCTCATCATCTGTTTCCTCTTCTCCTTCGGCGCACTGATTGAATACGCCATCGTCAACTACACCACACTCGTCAGGCAGAAGAAGGAGACCAAGAAGTCACCCTTACCGTCCCCTATTGTCACCAACATCCCACCATCGGTGTGTTGATTTCATTTGATGTAATGATTTATTAAAGTTGCAACAGTGCAATACATGTGGGACACAGGCAGCTGTTGCTGGTGTTGTGTCCCACACATAGGAACAAATACAAGACAGACAATACTTATTTTCACTTGAGGTGAATGGGGAAAGTCACGTTAAGTGCCTTTCCCAAGAGCACAAGATCGGTGACATGTCGGAGCACTCTGCCATTGCACCACACGACCCCACGACAGACCGACCCCACGATAAAGTGGGTTGCTGTGCTCCGTTGTCGTTTGTCCTCCTCGGTGTTCATCATTATTGTTATTGATGACACCAGCACTGTTTCCAAATAGAAGCTCTCAGCGCATGATTTGTCGAAAGCAAAACAACACCACGTTAAAAACGTTGTCTATAGGAATGGAATATGATATTCAATGGTGTGACAACAAAACCGGATTAGGGCGAATTCATCAATGATATCTATTACACTAATGTGCAATGTTCTGTTACACTGTACTTTCTCATGTTGTATTTTTTCCTGCGCAGCCGATGACAACAAGGAATGATATACAGATGCTAGAAGTCGAAAGTGACGGAAGAATCGCGCCTTTGGCAACCGTGGTTGAGGCGGACATGGACTATGAGAATCCGTCCGACGCGGCCAGCACACCATCAGACGACAGCGGCATCAGCAGACCAACGTTCCGGTACAGAGTGAGAGACAAAGTCAAGGCGAGGACCACCCAGGCAGGCCACAGAGTCAGAGCAACAACCAGTCGAGTCAGACAGAGGGTTGGCAAAATTTTAGACGACGAATGCATCATAGACAGAAGGTCGAGATATCTGTTCCCCTTAGCATTCACCGTGGTCAACCTAGTCTACTGGTTCACGTACATATATGTAGACATGGACGATGAGAAAATAGAACGTGATTTTTAGCAGCTAAGGTACATAACCTTTATCTATCTAGAAAAAGTGTGAGCGGCGTTTGAAACGGCATGCAATCTACTATCGTAGAGTGGAACTCGTTGCCACCAAGCACAGTTGGGGCATCATCAGTAGAAAGCTTTAAATAACTCCTGCAATAAAATGTGCAAAGATTGTGTGTAACAAGTCGTTCGGTGTGATATGGCTAGCTGCCGCCGCGCCGCGTGCCTGGTTTGGACCTTGAAAGCTATGGATTGCTGCTGTTATAATAGAGAGTGATAAAAACAAGATTGAACTTGGCATTGGACAATCTTACAAATTTTACAAATTAGTTACACGTCCTGTTGCAATGGAATACAACCATTGTGACACACCATGCAGTGCTATATATATGATGCTCAGTGTGACCTACGATGGCCAATGGCATTTGAAAAAGCTGATCACCATAGTAAGCAGTATTACTAGAAGAGGTAGATAGCATATCAATTTCTAGTGAATAGGGTGTACCACTGTGTCTAAGAACTATTTAACTTTTAGTGGCTAGCACTCACTGAAAGTCAGTAGTAAAACAAAAGATGATATGATGATCATGAAAGTAGTTATGCAAGACTTCTAAATCTGATATCTGTATCAAAGATAGATCTGCGTTTTGCAAAACAAGGAAATGTAGCTATAGTTTTAAGTCAGTTGTCCATATTGATATCAAATATTGCTGTGTTACGGGTCAACATACAAGATATTGTATAAATTATCGCGTCATATTTTCAAATAAAATCGCAATTTAAAAATCGCCTTGTCCTTGAAACTCTATACTTGCCAATATTGCTAAGGCCACACCAATCTAATTTTTTGGTTAACGGATTCGCCCGCTTCATTATTTTCTGATTTGCAAAAAAAAAAAATTCAGAATCAACTGCAAAATGCTCATAGTTTGCCCTGAATAGTTGAAAACAGTCCTTTTCTTCCTAGTTGTTACAGTTATTCCATCTTTCATTAAAAGTTCAAAATTCATTGTTTTAATTTTAAACCAGCCTGGTGTGTTGGCTTCATGGCTCCTATCGTACCATTTTCGGCCATAATAGGATGTTTCGGCCATAATAGACCTGTTTTAAATTTCTTTTTTCGCCCGCCAGCTCCATTATTTTTCTAGAAAAATCCGTTAACCAGGAATTTTAAATTGGTGTGGCCTAAGGGGTATTTACTGCAAATACTAATGTTCACAAGGGGATTTTAATCGAAAGTCTTTGCCAGAATACCTCAAGTGACTCTATTACGCCGTACTCTATTCAATAATCTATATAGCGCCATAATTAAATTTACACATAATGGCAATTGTCACACTTGTTTGAAATAAGAACAAATAACTGGCACAAAGTATTATATTGGTTGTTTATATGAAATACTATACCGACCCGTTGGATAGGCTTGTTGACAATCACGTCAGCTTGGCATTTTACATCCCCTCAGTAATCGAGACGTGGATAATCTTTTTAACAAACACAACAAAACACATCAGACATACACAGATAGTGCTTAGGTTAGAAGGTCACAGGACCCATGGCCATAAGGTATTTTTGCAGGACAGCGCCGCATATCTCTTTGAGTATTTGACCTCTGCCCTCTCTATAAAAACAGCAGCATGTAATATTATCCAATCCGAATAACACTTGATACGTAGAATAACAAGACAGGCCATCTGACGAGGTACATTGTGATGATCCTCCGATCATTTTGTATTGGAGGACGGTTTTCTCCAGCTAAAATGAACTTAGGAACACTCGTCAATTTTGGATTACGTCTGACTATCTAGAAGACAAACTTTTTGACGATTTGATATTCATCTTAAATTCTTCATTCGTATAAGAAAATTAGCGATCTTGTCTCTAACGTAGAATGAATCGTCTATTGGTCAAGTATGGAATGGGTATCTACATCAGATAGATTTTATAATTAGATAGACAGTATTACAGTAACTTCTAGGGATAGATATGAACGGGTTAGGCGTGACATTTCATTCGGTGTGATACAGTCAACCACCGCCTGCGAGGCTGCTGTGTTACGCCAATGGGAGGTTGACCTATCCAAACATATCGCCAAAGTACACCACGCTGCTTCCTTTTTCTCCCATATATGTATGCTACATTCTGCACAATCTGTTCACTTTACTACCAGACAAACTCTAGACATGTAATATTGACATTGGCTACCCAGATATCACGCCCAACGCCTCATGCACACGACATACGTGCCACTGCAGTGACATAACCTTCTCGGCGAAGGTTACGTGTTTGGTGCTGGCCAGATGAAGCCAGATACCACAGCTCATCTCCATACGACATGTATACGTGACACGGGGGACATATGATACATCGTCTGCCCTGTTTGTCAGCGGTTAAACCACACGGGCACATCATGGCTTCAACCGACTCTTCGATCTTACTCCTCCTGTTATGTTTACTGTACCCTTATGAAAGGTAAGACTCAGCACTTGAAACTTTCATTTGGTACTTCTGTGATGTCTAATATCAAAGATGTAAGTCAAACTGGTTGTTTTGACTCCAGTTTTCAGGTTACGCCAGTAAGTACAAACTTAACGACGGTGGACTGGGACCCCCAGCCGATCCAGGACAACTACTTAGCGACCAGCTACACTCCTGCCTGGGTCCCTGATATGAAGAAAAAGCTCGTCAACTACAATCGAAACCTTCGACCTGGATTCGGAGGTTTGTATCAGTTCTTTGACTATGTATTCCTGACTTCGGCTCGACATACATGATCCTGCCAAATACATGACTCGGACACTACTAGGGGGCAATTGTAAGTCTATCCCTAGCCCTGAACAATGATCCCAACTCTAACCCTAACCCTAATACCAACCCCTAACCCTAGACCTAGCCCTAAACAACGTATGTGGCAGCTCAAGGATTTGGCTTAACATCGGTAGTAAAGTGACGGTTGCCTTATGACATGTCGACCCTCCTGCTGATAACCACTGCCTCAGGTAGGGAGGGGTGGGGATAAGTGTCAGCTTATATACATTAAAACAATAACAACAAAGTAAATGAGATACAGAGTCATTGTGAGGAATAACCATGTCACAATGGTATATTTTATTGTTTACCGTATTATTCTGTTTAGGACCACCACTTCTGGTGAGGATGAGTATGGACGTGGTGAGCATTGACCACATCTCAGAAGTTGACCTCGTAAGTTTCAGAATTCTGTTTTTCCATGATAATATACACAATATTTTCTACATTTTATTCGATGCGGTTCATAGAGTCATGGCAAAAGATATTGTGGTTTTCGTCTCTGAAATGCATTTAGAACCTGATCTAATTAATGCTACAATGCCATTAGCAGCCCAAACAACTTAGCTTAATGGAAAAGCCATTTATTGCCTATTATGCTGCTTGGATTTCTCGTTATTTCTCTAATACGTTTCATCGCAGAAACGGTCTGGACCGATTCCAGCATCCTGTTACTGTGCAATATGAACACTTTTAGATTCATTTTACCTCGTGGTAATTGCCTCAATAATAGGCTAAATTGAACTAATTCTCACCTCCATCTCTTTTATATATATGTACGTACATCCCAAAGTACATGTGTCATATATTTGTTATTGTACAATTGGATATTATAAAATACGAGTTATTCACTAGATAGCTCTAGAGAGATTTGATCATCAATATAAGCATATATTTTCACTTATTTGCATATCAATCAATAGTTCGTGCGTATAAACCTGCATTTCTCCCCTGGTCTCTTAGTGTCACTGACGAAAGGTAGTGGATGCTAGCTGAAACGTCTGACCGTTTCAAAAATCATATCCTTTTGATTGAGTAACTGCTTTTTGGTGTATGATATAAGCATCAATATGTTTTTTTCCTTACTACAGGATTTCACCATCTGTATCCTCCTGCGGCAGTACTGGAAGGACGAGCGTCTGGCGTTCACTGGGACCAACGAGAGCATCAGTCTGGACGGCCGTCTGGTGGAGTACCTCTGGGTTCCTGATACATTCTTTCCAAACTCCAAATTCTCATTTCTTCACAACGTCACCATGGCAAACAGGTTACTTCGTCTTTGGCCAGACGGGTCAATTGTGTATGGCCAAAGGTTAGTCAAATTGTTTAAAGTTTTGACCCAACACAAAAAGTTCTCTCACCTAGAGCTTTCGACCAGTCAGTCTAGTCTTCCTCAGTAGACTGACTCAGTGGCATCTACATGTAACTACCAGCACAGATGAACTTTCATAATAAGTCAAAATTGTCCTGCTGACCAACATTTCTATGTTGAATGTACAATTTTGCTATGTACAATGTGATAACACATCCTACTTCATACTGCAGGGTGACAGTTATTGCCGAATGTAACATGGACCTGAGGAAGTATCCTCTGGACAAACAGAATTGTAGCCTACACATTGAGAGCTGTAAGTACCCTGCTATTCGAAATGATTCACTCATGTTTCTTACAGCTAGGATTTCTGACAGCTACTTCATCTATAATGGTTCATCCTCAATCTGTGTTTGATTTGGGAATTTTCTTTCCACAATCGTTAGATGGCTACACTACTGACGACATGATCTTCAAGTGGCTGAAAGGAGACGACTCTGTTCGGGGCTTGCAGAACCTCCAGGTTGCACAGTTCACCGTGAAGAACCACCGGACAAAAGAAATGATTGCAACCTACGAAACAGGTACAGTGAAAGTGTCTTCGACTACACAATATCTAAAAAAAAACATTTTACCAATTTTTCTAAGGAATAACATCAAATCAGTCAGTATCCAATGAAGGAAACCAGCCTGTTTTTTGTATATGTAATATGGTGTGGTGGGCAATACCCACTTCAATGTACATAGGAAACAGTTAAGTGGGCAGTCAGTGGCTCACAGCTGCCAAGTGTTCTCATGTCGGTGGACTCTGACTTGGAAGGACTGCAGGCCGCTGTTGTTGATTGTACCCACAACAGTGTATGGTAGTTTGTTCCAAATCTGAACTTCTGTGTGGATGAAGGTCCGTTCGTTGGAATAGTTCGCTGATTCTAGATACCGGTTGTCGAGTGCACGAGTTGGCATAGCTAGGCTAGCTCTGATTATACGTCTGAGTACGCCGGCTGTACGGCCACTGCTGCTGGCATCAGTCTAAATGGCAATCGTGAATCTGTGTGTCTGCCCAGGAGGTTACCCACACGTGGCCTTCAGTTTCCGGCTGACCAGGGAAGTGGCCTACATCTTCCTCCAAATGTACGTCCCCTCCACCCTACTGGTCATGATCTCATGGGTCAGCTTCTGGATCAACAAAGACTCGCCACCAGCCCGGGTCTCACTCGGTCAGTATGTTTGATTTATTCAGAAAAACAGAAAAAAAAGAAGCGAGAAGAACTTGAACCTGTAACGTAAATAGTGTTCACATTAGTATTTGTAGTGTAAGTATTATTCTTTTTCCCTGTTTATTCATGACCTGTACTTACATTTAGCTTGTAAGAGCATAAACGTACAATAAAGGTCTTTCATTCTTTAAAATAAATACAAATGAAAGGACACAAACAAAGTGACTGCGAACTCAAGCTAGGCACAACGTATATTCTCCCAGCCACTTTTACGATGAAAAATAAAGGTATTTCACAAAACGTTTTCTATGATAGTTGTTTTGTTTGTTTTTTTGTTTTATATCCCCATTAAAGTAATTGGAGTAGCCTAACAAGTGGCAATGCCAGTTTGATGTTTACTTTGCTGACAACGTTGAAACTATTTCAGGTATCACCACGGTTCTTGCACAGACCACCTTTGTGACGTCCGCACGTGCCTCCCTGCCGAAGATTTCGTACATCAAGGCCGTCGACGTCTATCTTCTGATGTGCTTCTTCTTTGTCTTCGGTGCCCTTTTAGAATACGCCGTCGTCAGCTTCGAGTCTACACGTAGGAAACGCAAAGCTGCTAAAAGAGAGAAGGAAATTCAGGTATCATTTATTTTCTTCTTTCTTTTTTTCCCCTTTTGTTCTTATTTGTTGCTGCTGTTTCCCTCAGATGCCTTTCTGGCTCCTGCGACTCTATTGCCACACTTTTGCTGCATGCACTTTTTATTGACAACGTTTTGCAACTACGTGTAGAATCAATCCATAGTTTGTTCCCTTTAATATACTGTTTATTACCGTACAAACCATCACTGTATCTGGCAGGGGCTATATTGTATTGCAGTGTGTTATTTTGTGATGTCAGTACGTATCTTACTGACTACATTGTACCGCTTCTTGCAGTTTTCTTCGCAATTACTATAGGCTATACTAACAAGTGACTGAGTGTGTTCTTCATTAATGGTGTTTGGTGTCACCGGGTCAGCTGGGTATGCTCGATCCTGGGCATCCCGGCTCCATATTTGGAACGTAATGTGATGTCAAGTTCAACTTTCCTCTTCACAGACTCAGCGGGAGAGGGAGATAGCTCAGCGAGCCGCGTTCGTTGATCAAATTTTCCAAGTTCCTCCCGACGGAAAGTTGCCTGTCAGTGCTGTTGAACTTCTGGCGAGATCGACTTGGCTTACCAAACAGGCTTCCGCTTACGCAAACCAAGTTCGCTTTGTGTATTTAATTATACATCTGACGTGCTGGCAACATGCTAACCATATGATACTAAAACAACGATAACACCGAAGCTGAAGTGTCAGCGACATGTCTTACCAGTACATATTTTGTATCCTGTTTTTCATTTTTGTTTTAATCTTGAATGGGTCAATTGGGCTTTTAAAGATCACATTTGCATTGGCCTTATCGCCATAGATTGCACATCTGATATATCATTAGTGGTATGGACCATACAAGAAGAACTTCACCAATAAATAAGCCCATATAGCCTCTAGCAATCATTTTACTGTATTCTTACGCTAATACATTGGCATGGCTGTTAAACGTTCCCCGTGCTGCCTAACCCCCCAAGATCGCTAAAAGTTAACACACTAATTACGTTTCCTCCACTTTCAGTCCACTTTCTGTAGAGAACCGTTCATATAAAAGTATTTTACTGCCTTGTACACTTTGACCGATGTCCAGCATATATCTATATAGGTCTTCAGTCGTACCTGATGACACCTTCCCATTTTACTACTATTGTATTACATTTAGCTTTCTATGCTTATCAAAAGACAGTTATGTGTATGACAGTTTATCACGTGCTAGCATTTATTCTCTTTGCCATCAGGAGCTGCAGATGGTCAACACCGTGCCTGAAGAGGAGTCTTGGGACACGAAGGAGGGGAGTTCCAGTGGGATATCTGAGGAGACCAAGGCTCGCAGGATGGCCAAGCTCAGGGAGAAGGTGGCCAGAATCCAGAAAGTGTCCTTACACGACATAGAGGACGTGGATAATATAGACAGATATTCAAGAGTCCTATTCCCAAGTACTTTTGTCTTTTGTGTCGTCCTGTACTGGACAGTATATTTGCTGAAGATGTAAGCTGTCCTAAAATTTGAAATGGCCGAACGTTTTGTCATAGATACCTGCAAGATATTGAGAGGTGTACAACTTAGTCTACTAAAGATCTGATCACAGATGAATCTATTTATATGAATAAGTAGCAGATCCATGGATTGTTATACTGTACAGTACAAAATGATATTTTCAAGAGTACATGTCGATGTTGATTTAGAGGGGCATTAAAGGGAATGAAGCTCATGGTTATGAGAACATCGCCAAAGCGACTTAAACGTAAATTCCATTCGGCATTACTATGGCACCTGGTATAAAGGCAAGTAATCTATTATGGAGTGCATTTGTCTGGAGATTTATTTCACAACAGTTTCATTCCTGTGAAATTCGTATTGCTTACGTTATTTTATGTCATATGACTGAGATGTTATGAGGGATAAATTATAATTGTTACAGCCCAGAAAGCTGTCTGAAGGACGATGCCAGAAGGAGTCCTTGAATTTGAAAGTCAAATTACTATATATCTGCGATAGTGGTATTGCTTGTGGATTAGATGTTGTATTAAAACTATATTAAGATTTATTTTTGTAGCCTCGTGGTTGACAGTTTGCCTAATGGGGACGTTACACATACTGCAGGGGTTGTACCGCAAGGGGCGCCTGAAAGATATGTCAATCACGCAAGTAATGAACATACAATTCCTGAGGCAACCACCCCAACTTTCCAATATCGGCAACGCAATATTTGTTCACTTGCTTCTGTCACACATCTCATGTATAGCCGAAGGTAAAACTGGGCAGCATCTACAAGATTAATCTGGTCCGACACTAGCAAGCCAACCACAAAATGGCGGCCGATATATTTAGCTGCTGCAGCTGAGGATGAAATCTACACCAGGGCCAAGCGGTTTGGATGACATTTATGTACGTGTAGTTACGTCTCAGTTTAGGGGGGGGGGTATATTGTTTCATCATTGCACACACAACAATAATGGTGGTTATAGAACTAACTTAGTTATTATTATTATTCACCACCTAAGGATTACCAAACGACAAATAAGAGATTTATTTCGTGCTTTTCAAAACTGCTTTGAATATCGCGCGGCCTTGGCAACAGAGTACGGTAGCAGAATTAGAATCGTATGTGGCCATGGGATGATCTTTTTATCATATATTTCAGGTTCAGATTATCCCAGCTGAAGGACACAGATCCAAATTGTTATCTTATCTAATTCTTTGTATCGTTAACCGATGGTCTGTACACTTTAGTCCGTGTGAGCACGTCCAATATTGTTAACGTTATACACTAATAGAGTTATCTGCGATTGACACATACCGGCTTCTAAATGACTCATCATAGAAAATATTTGGTGGTCTGACTTGCTCCCACGCAACATTGCATTGTCCACATTACAAAGTTCAGTCAGCTAAAGCCGGCCGACCCCCACTGGGACCAACTGGTGCAATGCAGACCCAAAACTGCAGGTCAACAATAGTTTTATAGCAGGCAATAGATATTAAAGATAGTAAGATGTGTGTAGTATCAAATGATGATAGGGCAATGGTTTGGGCACGTTTTGTGGGTTAAAGGGTGACCGAACTGTCGACGTTGGTGGTAACTGGATCTACCATGTATACACGTGTAAGATATCCCCCATGGTCGTGCTCTATCTGTACTAGGTCTGTTATTGTAATCTACCCGAAGCGATTTGTTAGCTAGAGGTGGGGGTGCATGTCCAGTCGTCTGGTGAGGTCGTCTACGGAGAGGCCGTTGCCTTTTAGAAGATTAAAGATATTTTGCGCTTAGTAACAAATATTTAACAGAGATTTTACAGATTATGACAGATTATTAGGCCTAAGTTGGTATAAGGTGCCTTTGACTCACTGACATATGTGTTATACTTTGATTTTTTTCATTTACAAAATTTGTTCTTGGCCTTATCTCCAAGCAGATTCCTTTCGGTGGCAAGACAGTATCTATTAGCCAGAGGAGCCCTTCGGTGGCTAATGGATACTCCACTGGCCAATGGATACTGCCTTGCCACAGTATACGTATGGTCTGCTTGGATATTATACTTGACCTATTGGGAAAAGAATGCGCAGTGAAGTACAGTCGTATCGAGCAGATGGAGTTTTAACACGGTGACAGGTGTAATGCCTAATGGTCCCGGGGTGCGTTGGTGGTCCATCCGCTTGTCTTACTTCTACTTCGCCCATTCTGGATCAAACACCAGAGGATAGAACTGTCCTTCCACTTTGCAGTCCTTTGAAAAAAAAAGGATATCTGTTTGACTACAGTACTGCCAATTAAATCTTTAAGTTTAAGAATAGAGGGAACTTAAAACTTTCCATGCCGGGCAAATACTAACGAACTTGGCAAGCTAGTCGGTGTATTGGTTGCTTCCCTAGGAGTTGGGTATGACAACTGCTTTAAATCACCACAAGGATGCCAGACTGAATACGTCCATTCTGACCATTGGTCGCCTCCCAAGACTGTCATCACGACATTGGGACAAGCACCATATGGAGTCCAAGCTAATAAACTATGGCTAATTTATCCTTTGGGGACCATGTTTAATATACTCCGTTGATTTACTCCTCTAGCCGTTTCCAAATTCGATCTTTGGGGAATGAAAAAAATTGGCCAGCAAGAGTAAATGATTTGGCAAGGCAGCTCGCAAACCAGCGGTGGTCCAAAACACCGGATTTGTCTCTTCTTTCAAATGATCTACTTCAGATCTGTGGTTGATTCTGTTAGTTTCTACAGACTTTAACAGTAAAAA